AGCACCTGACTGCCTTAACTCTGTATTCCCTCCAAGACAACCTTGCAGCAACGTTTCTGTTATAATAAGGAACCCATCTGGATGTCTAGTGGGAAGATCTCTTTAAAATAACACCAAAAAGGATTCTCAGGGGGCAGTTGAAAACGAAACTATGCCGCACAAATCAACATTCTTTCTTCTTTTCTTAGAGAGTCATTCGACTGCGGAACTCTTTGCCAACGTCTATTGTACATTCGGCGACTGTGAATGCGTGCAAGAGATGTCTACATAATTACCTGTTATCGGTCAAGCCAAACTCTCAAAACCTTGCCTAACGGATAACTTAGGTGATTACAATATATACTACTCCCTTGATTTCAATAGATCGTTTGTTTACAATAAATTCGACGCGGATGATAAGTTCACAGTCAAATACAGTGAGTGGACACAGGACTGGGGCTAAGCGTATACAAGGTCCAATACCAATAATACCTCTGCCGTAGGGTTTAGAAGGAATCAAAGCAGGCCTAAAAACGTTGATTCAAAGTTACATTATATTTTTTAGAACTGACCAAATTGTGTCCGCATCTGCATACTCCATTATGCCCCGAACGAAGGTCTCCTTACCTCTTTGAGTTGGGTTGTCAATCACTGTGTTACACAGTGTCGTCTAAAGGGAGGTGTAAAATCATGCATTCAACGGGAACAAAATTCAGTGTAGCAAGTTAAATGATGTAACGTCCTACATCTACTGAGTGAACAGTTTCAATGAGGCTAAAACCGACTGCTTCCTGCCTACAATTGGGCGAAAGGAGAGACCTGGTCATCGGCTGAAAAATAACAAACGGTGCTTAAACGGCGACAGAAGTTTGACAACAGAACAACTTTTCGGCTGACAATGACCTACGCCATTGGAGCTGGAGCCTCTTTCGCTGTTCCTACCACGAAGAAAGAGAGCCCAAAAAAACAACCTTGGCGCCCTGGCGGACCGAGTCCCGAAAGGTATTTAATCCATGAGATCAGCGACGAACGATGTGCCCAAATCATAGGCCTTTTTCTTCGATGTCCTGAGAAATTCTTGTTAATGGAGGAAGAATTCCGCCAATGCAACAGCCTTCACGCGGATAATCATTCTCAACTCCAAAGCCATTACTGCAGACAGGGCAATTCGACCGTCGGTTTCGATGAGGTCCACCGTGTACTCCACAACGTGCACTGTGTAACGATCCTTAGCAGCAGACCAGGACAGTTCAATCCATTGCCATCGCTGAATATCGAAAGGCTAAGAAAAAAATACCATGTCCTATCCAGCCAGGTTTTGAGGTGACCCCCTCTTCGACACCTCTAACTGGTAACGGGGTCGCATCGAAAACAGTAACACTGAGCTCCTGAGTTTGACGACGAAGAACGTGCCCAAACTACCTCAACCGTCTTTCTTAGATGGCATGAGAGATATCCTTGCGATGTTGCCACAGTGAGTGCGGACTGTCTGGCTTTAGATGAGACCGGTGTATTTCACTCGAAGGATGGTCCTCAAGCAGTGGTGGTCCAATACCTCCAGTTTTTTTTTCATTTTCCACGCACATAGCCCAGCATTTACAGTCATTGAGAGAGACAGACTGAAGGGATGCACGGTGCGCGCAAACCTTTGTGGGTACATGGACACTTTCTACGACTTGAGAAAACTCAACGAGCAGCATTGACTCGAGGGTACGAGTTCATCCTTACTCGCCCCAAGGTGTTTAAAACTGACACTTGTTGCTTAACGTTCACTGGTCGTTAACGCGACTCATTTTTGTGCCTTACCAGCAGCCGTAGAGCGGCTATTAGTCTCGGCATACAGCATTTGCGGCAAAGGCAAAGGAGACTGGAATGGCCGTTTCTGGCTCATTAGCCGTCATCAGCCAGCCAAAGACAACCCCAAATGGTGCTTTAGTTGGCCGCCGATGCTATGTGTACTTGAAACTTTCTACTTTTTCCAGTTGACAGCCATCAATCTTGAGAGAGGTACCTTGTCTTTCGGCAGGGATGCAGCATTAAAAGCACTGGGAAGTCCCCCCCCCTCCCCAGGGTGTCGACATTAACTTTTCATAAGCAAAGCATGTTTCAACAGTTATCTTATGCCATAAAAAGAATGTGAAGCCTACAAGGGGCATGTTGTACCGCTCAATAGTCTCCTTCTGGTAATCCCACTCATGAGCCACAGCCAAAGCCAGACCCTCGTGGGGAACGCTGAAGACACTGCCAGAGGGGGTACGCAGACGGCGGTCGTCCAGCAGAATTTCATAAGCTGGCTCGGTCTGATCAGCTAGAAGTAAAAATAAAAGCACGTCCACTTTTAAATACGTGAAAATAGGTGGCACTACTGATGAAGAAAGACGCTAACTTCCAGGTTTCAGCCCACTCGACCGCGGGACCTGGCCATATTTTAAAGTTTAACGAGACCGACGTCCTCGCAAGAGGTGACAACCGCGTGAGCCGCGAGCTGTTCGAGTCATGGTTCTCCAGCCCACATTCAATCAAGAAGCGCAACGAGTTGCCGTTCCCCCATAGTGCGTACTGAGACATTGCCTGAGCAGGTGAATCAGTCAGGTGGGAAGGGCCGGGCGCAGGAACAACTTAGAGGACAGCTAGCATAATTATGGTGCAATTATCAAGCCTGCATCCAACACGGACAACGAAATTGCACATTAATAAATGACTCTATAGCGAACTGTCAAACCATCAATGCACCAATTACGACCCCAAGCGGGGGTTACAGGACCTGACAGCTATCGTACGCATGTGGATGGCAGCTGCGAACTACAAAAACGGCGCAATCTGTGCATGTATCGACCCGACCAGTGCATGTCTCGCAGTATTCTACCTATAATTAAGGATTCTGGACAGATTCCGAAAGGTCAAGAAAATAAAATTCTTGTTCCAGTGATCGCATCTTCTTCTTCTGAACTGCTTAAGAAAACTAAGGAGTGGCAATTACTGCTTTTTACACAAAAAGGAATTATCTGGCCTTTTTTATGATGCATAGCCCTTGAATTAACAGAAAATTTGTTATGCTACTGAACTAAATGTATCCACAGCTGTGTGCAAAAACCCCGGCCGAAAAACGATTGTGATGAAAGTAGAAAAACAGACAGTTCGGAACATACCTGTACTTCCGCGATATGCAGTTGTAACGTACTTATAGAAGCGCTTTATTGGGGCTGCGAGAAGCAAGTAAGGCACAAAATACGGCCTTACCGTTTGTCGATATATTTGTTTGGGTGACATGCACGCAGGAACGTCGGACAAATAGACAGAAACGTTGCATTTTTGCGCAACGAGATATTCAAGTAGCCGGGGTGCAGTCCTCTGAAACAAACAAAAATGCGAATATGCTTGACTTCGGGGAGGAGAAAACTGAAAAAGTGCGGGTTCAACAATGGCTGATAAATATGATTAAATACAGAAGGAATGCTAGTGGAAAATGAGATTCCACGACACGGATAGATAGCACTTGTGTTAAGTAGACAATCCGGTGGTGATCAGTGAACTGTTATCAACGAATGTCAATATCTGCCGATCTAAACCGGTAAGACAAGGACCTTGTGGCTCAATGGTTAGAGTGTTAGACTTCCGA